ATGCAAAGCGAATCAACAGCGGTGACGTCACCGCGCGTTGCATAGCTACCAGGATGCGGGGTGATTACTCGCCTATTACGCGAGCGCTACGTTACAGCTACGTGCAGCTGGGGAGGTAGGGGTCAACATGTCACAATATGATGAAAAATTCCCTAAAATGGCCAAAAATGACAAGAAATACCCTTAAAAGTAATGAAAAAATGACCTTAAACCTAAAAATGTAGAAAAACGACAAAAATTACCTATAAAATTTACATTTGTGTAACCAGCAGCTCATATCCGAGATTTATATATTTAAGAGCATCGCATAGGGTACAAGGAAAGAAAGATGACGTCATCAAAATGTGGGCCCTGCTCATTACTGTTAGAGGCTGAGTCAAGTCCAGGGTCATAGTGCAGCTGGAAGGATTAGGTAAATTGAAAAATGCAGTTACCTTATTTGAATTCAAACCTGCAACCTTCTGGCTTGTAGCATAGTGCCTCAATGAACTATGCTACCACATTCCCCAAATAAATAAATAAATTAATTATCTGATACATTATTAAATTAACTTTTCTTGGTGCTGTGAGGCAGTTCTTTATACAATATGTTCTAGGAGCCTGGATAGCCCAGCTTAGTGACTGACTATTGTCGTGTTTATCAGGTCTTGATTACCAGTAATGATATGGATTTTTTTCTCTTTAGCACCAACCTTCTGTTCATTATGTACTAGAGGGTCTACTGTTTGTAGTAATATTATGCAATCTTCAAGTTGAACTGTTTTGCTTCTGTGGCCTCCATTCCTTCAGACGTGGTTCAACTGACACATACTCTGTGTTGCAGTATGTTAAGCGTGGCAGGGGATATTTCAGTTTATCATGTTCAACTACATTAGGTACAGCAAAGGAATAATTAGGGTACCATATTGACATTTGACATGAGGGACTGAGGAAAATAGCAAGAAATCCTCAGTTTTGACAGCTTGCATCCCAGTTGAGATTTGAACCAAACACCTGCTGAATATGGGTGAGGAACATTACCACAATGCCAGCCCATTTAGCTCAACACTGTCCATATTAAAGCCCATCACTGGACATGATGTGAACCCAGTTCCATCCATTTCCCTTCCTCGCAACTTGTATCTCAGCCAGAATGTCTTAATGTTGATTTGCTTCCTCCTCTTCAGGTTTTCTAGGTTCCAATTTTCCAAGAGATTTCTCCTCCGAAATGATGAATGAATTTCGGATGTCCTCCATTTCAGCTAGATGTGCTTTATTACGTTCACTGTAGTAGCTAACCTGCATAAGTTACAATGTTTTTCTTTGTGTAATATCCAAAATTGCTTGCTTACTTCATCTTAGGTACATATTCTTTCCTGAGCTCTTTATTTGCAGATTTGTAGTTTATATTCTCCTCAAAGGAAGATAAGATGTATCACAGTCATTTAAAATAGCTAGCAGAATTGTTTCATACTGGTTAATTTATATATATAGGATTTATAACTGAATAATTAGTGAAAATTCGGTTTGTCATTACAGATTGTGATGTATCATCATCATCTTCATCATATTTCACTGCATATTGGACAGTTTCCTGTCTCATTACCAGTTATTTTCTTGTTCACAGTGCACAATTTATGTAAGTCCATATGGAGGTGGAAACAAGACAGAATTCCTCGGAAATGGTGATTCTGGTATAGTTGGAGCACCATACACAATAGCATTTGATTGGCTGGGCCGCAATCTGTATATTGGTAACCGAATGGCGTCGAATTTTGAAGCAGTGAAAGTGGATGGTAAAGTGAAGCATCGAACTATCATCCTGGCTAATGATGGCAACAAGACCTCTGTTGCAAAGCCAAAATCCATGTGTCTGGATCCTTTGGATGGGTGAGTAGTATTCCTCTAGCTTCATGACCCCTTTGATATTGATATGAACTCTCAATAAATGTGCCGTATCTCAGGCAGTGGGCTTCTGACTGTGGGAGCCTCAGATTCAATCTCAGGTGACATTACCTGAGGTTTGTGGTGGAGGAAGTGGCACTGGAGCTGGTTTTCCTCCAGTTTTATTCAGTGTTGCCATGCCAGTTATTCCACCATTGCTCAGTACCCATCTGCCATCACTGCTTCCTGACCTATAGCATCTTATTACATCTTTGGTATTTAAGTAGGGGTTTTCATGTCTGATCCAGAATTGATTGGTTACTGAATAAGAAAGTTTTGTGTTAAGTTTAATGGACTGCAAACTAACCAGGAAATGAGGAAGTTGTTATATAAAGCCCTTGAGTTGGTACAGGATATTAAAAGATGGTTGCTGCATGTTGTTTGAATGGATACAAAATGGTGGCTAAGACAACTTTTAAAGTAAGCCAGAAGGCAGAAGAATAGTGGGAAGGCCCAAATTGAGATGTATGGAAGATGGTGAGAGTGATTTACAAGAGTAGAGAGTGAAGAAGTGGGGGCAAGAGCATATAGTAGACAAGACTGGACATCTGTCTTTAAGGAGGCCAAAGTTTTTTTTGAGACTATGGAGCCAAAGGGTAAACAAGTAATTAAGTAAATAAATGAGTAAATAATTGAACAGAAGAATAGAACAAACTCCTGAAATGTTGTGTGTATTAAATATACCTCAGATGATGGTCAGTATCCTCATAATTGCTTAGTAATACCTTTGATATTGTTAGCTAATCTCTCATATAACATTCCAACTTAGTATTTTATTAGTGTTCCAATGTTCAAGAAGTGTCAACAAAAGAGTCCAAATGGGAGACCTAAATATACATAGGAGGAAAATATCAAAATGATTCTTTCAGAAACAGAGTGCAAGATTGTGGGCTCAGTTGAACTGATTCTGGACAATCCAGTGTGGCATGCTTTTTTGACGAATGAATTCTTGGATTCCATAAAAGTAGGGAATTTATAGAAGATTTCAGGCTTTCAGTGTTAATTTAAAATCAATTCCTCGATGATAGCATCAAAAGAAAAATTGAAGACTAAGTAAAAGATCCTTCTTTGAATGCAGATTTCACCCAAAGAGATCACACACAAACATGATCTACATAAGGAGGGAATTTGTTTAACTAGCTAAACAACTGTAAAGTTTTCAAGCAAGATCCTACAGCACGAATAAAAACTCCCAAATTGTGCTAATTGTAACATGTTTGGATAGTATGTACATTTTGCTCTTGTTGCAGGAAGTTGTACTGGATGGATGAAGGAGGTTATGGAGTTCCATCCAAGGTTGGGAAGGTGAACATGAATGGATCAAACCCCATCATATTAGTAGATGACATAGAACGGCCAGAAGCTATTACCATCGACCTAAACACGAAGCTTCTCTATTTCAGTGCTCAGTACCCAAGTTTTGTAAGTTCTGTTTTGTAATCTTATGCATTCCTGGTGCAATTTGTTGTTTTATGTCTTCTTTATATGAAATGAACACACAGGAGTGAAACCGTTTTCAGCCCACAGCTGTCATTTCTGAAATTCCTGGAGAGA